CATTTAAAGTTCATAATAGTAGTGCTCTCTTTTGTGTAGGTCATTGACATGGAATGTCAGTCATGCTTTAAAATATTGTGTAACTAACCCATTAACTTAACTGTGTTTTCAGTAATTGGGAGTAACATGAGTTGTGTCTATGCAGCTGTACCAGAACATTGATGGACAGGATTTTGTGTGAACATATTATTTTTTAATGTTTTTGACAAATTGGTATTTTAAAACATCTCATAATTAAATTATTCTTATCCACATGGCTCTGTTAGGGAAGAGTACTTTATCATCCATTGCTACATCATGAATTATCCCATGACTTAGCAGCTTGAAACAACAAACATTTATTGTCTCTCAGTTTCTGTGAGTCAGGGATGTGGGCACAGCTCAGCTGGCTGACTCTGGCTCAGGGTCCCAGGAGGCTGCAGTCAGGCAGTGGGCAGGGTCTCCGTGCTGGGGGCTCACTCGCATAGTTGCATAGTCGTGGAGACTTCAGCTCCTCCCCAAGTGGGCTTCATAGGTTGCCTGAATGTCCTCACAGCATGGCAGCCAGTGTCCCACAGAGGGAGTGATCTAAGAGTGATCTAAGTGATCTAAGTGATCTAAGGGAGCTTCAGTCTTTTGTACGCTAGTCTCAGAAGTGCTATGTGTCACTTCTGCCTTCTCTGCAGTGACACAGACTAACTGTGGTACAGCATGCCAGGAACTACACAATGGTGTGAATACCAAGACATGGGGAAAATCGTGGGGCGTCTTGGAGGCTAGCTACCATAAATGGTGTAATAATTAGCATGTTTCATTTTTTTTATAGGTATCCAGTGAATTTTTTGAAGAAGGATTCATGGCTGATGTTGATTTAGATCATAGTTGTACACTGAATAAGAAAATACGAAATGCACAGCTGGCTCAGTATAATTTTATTTTGGGTAATTTAAGTTTGTATATAATTTTCCAAATGCTTGGTTTTTTTCACTTTAATTCCAGAAAAAACAAAAAACAAAATAAGGAATATGGTACAACTACTTGATTGTCACCATTTGACTGTTTAATACTTATAAACAAAGAGTAGTCTATGGTGTTCCTGGGTTAGCTGTTCCTAGTACTCTTTGTTATTTGTTTGAAGAGGATTTATAAAGTTTCACATGAATTTTGTGGTATAGTATTACTAGCAATAGTTAATACTGCAAACCAACAATAAAAAAATGTGAAAATGATCTCATCCCATCAGTGGAATTATACTCCTTATGTGTCAGCCTGACAGAACTAAAATATTTTCCCTTGCTCTTCTGGTTTGTTAGGAATCTTTGAGATTAAATTAATGGATGGAAAAGATTCCAAATTTAAAATGATTAAAAGAAAAGGATTTAGGTGAGAAATAAAATGTCCTTGAGGCAGATGAGTAATTGGATACAGAATCTAAAATTTTGGCTTTAAAACTGATTCCAAAATCAAGAAAAACTGACTTTGATATGATCCAGGCATGGGTATTACTATCTCCTGTAAGCCGAAAGAGTCTGTAAAAGGCAAAATAAATGTGCACAGCGTTGTCCCACTGACAGTTTTTTATTGATAATGTTTGACTCTGTAGTAGGTATTGTGCTGTTTCAATCAGGCTTCTTGTGGTGACAGCAATCTCAAATTAGCTTAGACAAAGATAGTATTTATTGGAAGGGTCTTAACTATTAGAGGATGAACCTAATGGTCATTAGATTAACATTTAGTGATTAATATTGAAGAAAAACTCAATAAGACACATGTGTCATATGACTTTTGAATTAACGTTTAGTAAATTGTTGATTTAAAATGTTTATTTCCCTTTTCTACAGTGGTTGGAGAAAAGGAAAAGATAAATGATGCCGTAAACGTTCGAACAAGAGACAACAAAATTCATGGAGAGATTTCAGTAACTTCTGCTATTGATAAATTGAAGAATCTCAAGAAATCACGTACACTAAATGCTGAGGAAGACTTTTGAAGTCCTTTCCTTATACTTCTATGTAACTTCGTTTTGACCCTTAAAAATGTATTTTTCTTATCCAGTTAACATATTAGTACTTTTAAGAACTGTAGACTCTCTGATGGGTCCACTCATGGGCTCAGTTGAGAAAGGAGACAATGAATGAGTAGCTGATCTGTACAAAGTTTAATTCACTATTGTATTCTGGGGACAATAAGAGGGCAAGTGTGGGAAATTGTCAAGCAATCAATGCCTTTAGAGACTTAAATGGGGGAATGTTATTCATTGAGAGAGGGAAACACCAGGAAATGAGGATTGTGAAATGTTATAAGATTTGTGATTTTCAGAAGGTGGGCTTCAAATAAAAGTCTGCAAGTTTTTTTTTTTTTTTTTGAACATGGGGAAAAACCTTGTAATATTATGTCTCAGGTGTTTTTATGACTGTTCTACTAAAGTTCACACTGAAACTGTATCTTCAAAATTGAAATCATTACTTAATTTTGTTTAAACAACCACAGAAGTAGCAACTAGGTCTAAGTATTGGATTACTGACAAAAGACTCTGCAGATCACAGAAACTCAGTGTTGTGGAATCTGTTGTTTGCACTGTGTGTTAAGAGTTGTCCTTTGAATGCTCTAATTCATAGTTGAGCCTTGTTCATCTTTTGAAAAAATAAACTGCATTACACAGTGTTTCCAGTGTTTCAGCTATGTGCTTCTACCATAGTAAAGCTGCTCACTTAGCGTTGTTACTTTTTTTCTTTTTTTTGAGACGGAGTCTCACTCTGTTGTCTGGGCTAGAGTGCTGTGGCCTCAGCCTAGCTCACAGCAACCTCAAACTCCTGGGCTCAAGCGATCCTTCTGCCTCAGCCTCCTGAGTAGCTGGGACTACAGGCATGTGCCACCATGCTCGGCTAATTTTTTTCTATATATTTTTAGTTGGCCAATTAATTTCTTTCTATTTTTTATTAGAGACAGGTTCTTGCTCTTGCTCAGTTGAGTTTCGAACTCCTGACCTTGAGTCATCCTCTCGCCTTGGGCTCCCAGAGTGCTAGGATTATAGGCATGAGCCACCACACCGGTGGAGTTGTTACTTTTTTTATGGGATGACATTCCACTGATTGATAGACTCAAATGGATTTCAGATTTTAACTGGGAGAAATACCTTACTTGCTCAGAACTGAATTAAAATGGCTTTATGCCAGTAGAGAATTTAGCTACCAATCAGGAAGTATTTATTGTTTATTTGGCTAGATGCTGTGGAATTCAAAATAAATGATCATTTCTCATTTAAGAAATGATCTCTCTTTTCAACATACTGATCATTTAGTTAGCTTCCTGAGGAATGTGAACATTAAACAGTTGGTAAAAAAAAGAAAACTGTTATATTTCAGACCTTTGTAGTAGTATAAGTTACAGATTATGTGATATAATTTTTAAAGCTAACATTTATTGAGGGCTTATTGTGTACCAGGCACTATACATATATATTTTTTATCATTCATCAGATGTGTAGATAGGGAGTAGGTAGTCAGGAAACCTCAGAATGAATGATCTTGCAACAGGTGGGTGGGAAAAGAGATGTCAACAGCACAGTACAAAGAATGTCGTGATGGAAACAGGTGCAGGTTGCCATAAGCTGCAGGCCTGGAGTGCAGCTCTCCTCCCCAAGGCTGACTTTCTCCAGGGAGGGGCTGTGCTTCCGACTCTCCTGCCATATCCCGTCACCTGGCTGTTGTCCCAGTGTTTCAGGGCCCGCCCTGCTTCTCCCCGTCTTCGGTGAACTGTCTGGAGGCACCAGGTATATTTCAGGAGTTGACCAGGGTGAAACCCAAGGCAGGCCTCCAGCCCTGGATCCAGGGGGAGTGGGTCCCTCGGCTGCCTGTCACACCCTGGGGCCACAGGTTCCTCATCTGTAAATAAGTGCCTTTAAAGTATGAAATGAAACGAGATAATGTCATCAGAACTCTGACAGAGTACCTGGCACACAGTAGCAATTTTTATCTCTAAACATATATATGCAGACATAAAAATGGGGGTCAGCTTCCCAAATTTGCCTGCCTCTGCATTCAGTGGCCTCAGGCGTGAATTTCGGTCCCCAGATGACCTTTCTTGGTCTGAGGCTGTGGAAAGAGAAGTGAGCACCTCGTCAAAGTGCTTGAGGGACACTTGGGGACTCAGCAACCTCACAGGCCTCATTCCTCTCCAGGACATCCTCAGGAGCGCAGCAGGGGTCTAGGCGCGGGGAGACTAGAGCAGGTGAAAGCACAGACACAGCCCCTAGAGCCCCAGTGCGCCTGCGCGCTGGGCTCCTCAGACACAACCGGACCCGCCGCCGGAGCCCCGCCCCCGAGGAGCCCGCCCCTTGGCCCGGAAGTACACGGGCCGGCAAGATGGCGGCTGTGGCGGGCCCAGTGCGGGGCCTCCACTATCTCTGCCGTGTGCTGTTCTTCTTCTGGCAGTTCTGCATTCTGCTGGGCGATGGTGAGTTAAAGTCCGGGATACGCGCCGGTCGGGCTGAGTGGCAGGAGGGCCCCGGTTGCCGCAGGAAAACGGCGGAAGCTGATGCGGGGAGGAGGCTGAGTGGCAGGCTCTGTGAGTCGCTGCATCCCTAGCTCAGCGACGCCGAACCCAGCTTCAGGAGCTCTAGAGTAGAGGTGGAGCGCTCGGGGCGCTGTCGGAGAAACGCAGCTGGAGCCCGATACGACCCTTCGTTTCCTAGTTGCCCCACGGACCTGAATTGTTTTCGACCCCGGCGGCGGCGTTTCGTCCTTTGGTTTTCTATTTCTGGCAGTCAAGTCGTGAGGTTTTCGTGAGTATTTATTGGCCTGGTGTCGACTCTGCACGTTAACCACAAAAAACAAGTTTTTCCTATCCCGGGATAACATGTTTTTCTAATTGCAGGCTATTTACATTTAGAGCATTCGCAGCCGCTGGCTTAGTTAGTAAAGGATCCGGGCCCATTATCTACATTCACTGTAGCTGCCAGAGCAGCAGATACTAGGCATCTTCTATGCTAGTAAATGTGTGCATTCATAGCTAGAAGTTTCTCTCTGTTTTGACGAAATTTTTTGTAGTATATATACAAAGTCACTTTTCCATTTTCGAATATTTTATGTATTTTTGATTATGTGAATTAAGGGCAGATACACAACCTTTTTCAGTAGACATTCTTGGTATTTGGATATCTTTTTATGTTCCTGATTCATCTCTTTTTCCAGTCTCACGTTCTTCATTTCTATCTCATTTCTATTATTTTTGCACTTCATCCACAAAAATAACCTTGCTTCTTTCCCTTCTGAAAGTTTCTTCTACTTCTAGAATCCTGTTTCTGATGTTGGATATTAAAGGCTCCCCCAAGGCTGTGTGAAATGGAAGGATCACAGAGGGACTGATGGAAACCTGGAGTCTAGATCTGTCTATGGTTGTGCTACCCCACCACCCAGTTTGATCAAATTATTCATCCCCTGTGTGCCTGGGTCCTCCATCTTTACAGCAGTGGAGGGCCCTAAATCATTTTGGCTTTGTGATTCTAAGTGTCCTGCCTCCAGCCAGTTTGTTACAGGAACAATAGGAAGGAAAGGGGTGTTTTGTAGAATTGTCCACTTAATACAATATCTTAAGTAGAACCAGTTTTAAATGAGTATGAATGTGTTTTGCTAAATGGCACCTTTGGCTCTATGATTTTATCCCTGTGAAGTTCCATTACTTCAAGAAACTGGCTGAGGTGGTTTACTGATTCTTATTTGGCTGTAAAGTCAAAGTCAGCAGTGTACTTGAATTTTAAATACAGTTTTTCTTTTCTTTCTTTCTTTCTTTTTTTTAGAGAAAGCACAAGAGTTCTGGGCTCTTTTGGAGGTTTTTGAAAGACCCTCTTCATTTTCAAGAATACTTGCAGTTTTGATCCTCTCTTAGATGATAAAAATATATTGTATACCTCATTAGGTTGGCTGGAAAAAAGTTGCAACTTGCTGAACGTGTTATTAAAATAAATAATTATTTTGATTTTTGGTAGTATAAAATTGTAAATGTTCTATTAGCAAATTATGGCTTACTGATTTACCAATGTGGAATAATGACAGAACATTTTGTAGAGTTGATGCCCTCAGAGTGTCAGGGGCCTCATCTCTAAACTAGTGAATTCAAATGAAGAGAATTGGATTGGAAGTGGAGAGATTGGGTTCTAGTTCCAGTTTTACCACAGTCTTCCTCTGTGATTTTGCACAAATCCTACCATCTCTGAAGCTTTAATTTTTCACCTTATAAAATGAAGGTGATTTTTCACCTTATAAAAGTTTTGAGCCCCTAACTTGCACACAACCATTTGTACATGAGCACCTTTAGTTTTCATGGCCACTTGGGAAGCAGGAAGGAAAAACTTTTTATGAGGGTGGTGCTCACCAGGGCACACAGCTGGCTGGCTGCAGAACCCTGCTTTAATTGTAAGTGTCTCTGACTCCAGTTCTGTGTTTTTCCCATTCCCATGCAGCTTCTTGTTGCTCATGATCATGTCTCTTCACCTTAGAAAACTGTTTTCTTATGTTATTCTGATCAGTATTATAAGGGAATAACCGTCTTTTACCTCTCACAGAAAGTACCGAAATCCCACCTTATGTGATGAAGTGTCCAAGCAATGGTTTGTGCAGCAGACTTCCTGCGGACTGTGTAGACTGCGCAACAAATTTCTCCTGTGTCTATGGGAAGCCTGTCACTTTTGACTGTACAGTGAAACCGTCTGTTACCTGTGTTGTAAGTACTGCAGCTTACTTTAAATAAATTCATTGTAAACTTGGAGTTAAAAGTGCAGTTTAGACTTAACTATTGGGAAGAGAGTGAAATAATTTTTATATTCTTTTATGACTGCCTTGTTGAGTATGTAAGAAGTAAAAATCCTATAATCCCTTTCATATCTGATGGCCAGATGGCTACTTTTCCAATTATTATGGTAACTGTCAAGCCAGTTGATGTCAGCTGAAAATGCAGGTGACAGAAATGTTGCATTGTAGGACTTGGAGAGATCTCGATCTGCTATTGTATCTAAAACAGGTACAATTCATTCAGATGGTTTTTCGTTCTTAGTAGTGACAACTAGCATACAGAGGGGATGGGAACGTCTTTTTTCCATGGACGAGCATCAGGCTGGGCTTAGGAACCTGGATTCTGCTCCTGACTTGCAGCTCAGTGACCGTCAGCAAATGTGCTCATCTGTTCCTTCCAGATGTCTGTGACTGACACTTTATAAATTTTCCTTTGCTCTGTATTACAAAAGTGTACATGCTCATTATGAAAAATTTAGCTAAGCAAAAGTGATGAAATAAGCGTTGTTACCCTGAAATAATCTTTGCTATTTTGATGTGAATTTATCTAAGTTTTTTTCCTTAGGTATACATATTTGGGTATATATTTTTATGATTATGGGGTATATATTTTTATGATTATGGGGGTAATACCACATACATTAGTTTTGAATAAGTATTGTTTTGGTACCTATTCTTCTGCCACTTACTACTAGTTCCTAAGTACAAGTCTTTTAGAAATGTTGTGCCATATGAATGTGTAGGGTTATTGACATATTAACAGACTGCCGTATCGTGATGGATTAGTTCTGTGTCCTTTGGTACATAGGATCAAGACTTCAAATCCCAGAGGAACTTCATCATTAACATGACTTGCAGATTTTGCTGGCAGCTTCCTGAAACAGATTATGAGTGTTCCAATTCCACCAGCTGCATGACGGTTTCCTGTCCTCGGCAGCGTTATCTTGCCAACTGCACAGTGTGGGACCACATCCATTGCTTGGGTAAGTCAAAGTTCAAGGAAATTCTCGAGCCAAATATTTTTCTCTAAGTTTACTTAGGGGAATTTAACCAGAAATTGAGAGTTAAATTATTTAATGAGAAACAGCAGCACCTTTTTAGGTGTACCATGCCTCATTAATAAATTCAATAAACTAAAAAAAAGCATCCATAAGATGTGCAATTCTATTATCTTTTAAAATGTAATATTTGATAAAACAATATGTAAAATAAAAAACATAATATACAGTAATTGAATTTCACCCAAAGTAGCTCAAATTAACCACTAGAACAGCACCAGTGCCAACTGCCCCAGTGTTTTGCCTTCATCCAGTTGTTCTGCCTTCATTTCAGAGGTCACCATCCTTTTGAATTTTTTTTATCATTTTACTTTAAAATTGTTTATAGTTCTCTCATGTATATGTAATAAAATATAATACATTATTCAATAGTGCACACTTTAGAACTGTATCAAATGATAGCATTGAGACCCTATGGTCTTTTAGGACTTCTTTATTTCTTCTCACAATCATGGCTGTAAGATTCATTCATATGACCTCTCATTTATTTTTCTTACCTCTGTAAAATAATCTATCGTGAGATTGTATCACAGTTTATCCATTCTCCAGTGTATTTGGAGTATTTACCATTTTTTGCTATTGCAACTGCTGTTAAAATTTCTGTGCATATTAATGTCTTCTGGTTGCACATGTGCAGGGGTTTGTCTAGCCTATACTCTCCAGCATGTGTTATTTTCCAAAATAGTTATATTAACTTACATTCCCACCAGTGGTATATAACTGTTCTTAGTGATCCAGATGCTCTCTAATACTTGTTATCCTTAAGTTTTGTCATTTTCTTTTTTTTTTGAGACAGAATCTCTCTCTGTTGCCCTGTTGCCCGGGCTAGAGTGCTGTGGCGTCAGCCTAGCTCACAGCAACCTCAAACTCCTGGGCTCAGGCCATCCTTCTGCCTCAGCCACCCGAGTAGCTGGGACTACAGGCATGTGCCACCATGCCCACCTAATTTTTTTTTTTCCCTACGTAGTTTTAGTTGGCCAATTAATTTCTTTCTATTTTTAGTAGAGATGAGGTCTTGCTCTTGCTCAGGCTGGTCTTGAACTCCTGACCTTGAGTGATCTGCCTGCCTCGGCCTCCCAGAGTGCTAGATTACAGGTGTGAGCCACCACTGTGCCCACCCCTATGTTTTTCTTAAAGATTTCTAGGATTCTTTTATATTTTAGATACCTTAGGTGTCCCTAAAGCTCTCTACCAGATTTTGACTTTTTTTTTTGTTTTGTTTTAACTTTATTTATGATTTGTTTTGATGAACAAACTTTTAAAAATATAATTAGTTTATTTCATAGTTAGCCCTTTTTTGTTATTTTAAGAAATCTTTTTCTACCCCAGGTTTATAATGACAATTTTAAAAGTTGTAAATTTGACCTTTCTTAATTTAAGTTTATAATCCACCTGGAATTGGTCTTGGTGTAGATGGTGTGAGATAGATTCAACTTTACTTTTTTCACCACCTACATGAAGTTTTATATGTGCATGTATATTTTATATGTGTTTTATAAAACATTTTAAATCACCTATAATTTCATCATCTAGAGATAATTAGAGGGCTAAAATTCTGGTCCTTGATTCTCTCTTCTTTTCCTACTGGATAATATATCTGTCTCAGCACCACACTGTCTTACTTACTCTTAACTTCACCATAAGTCTTAATATCTGGTAGAACATTTCATGTTCTTGAAGTTGGAGCCATAACAATGTGGATTTAAATATTAAATCCATGCTTATAGGTGGTAAGGACTTTTCTTTGTACTATTCACTGTAGTAAACATCTATTACTGTAAAGAGAGTTGACTTTTTAGATGTTAAATTGTGAAGCCATTGGTTACAGTTAAGTCTCTGTGTGAGAGTTTTCTTATACCCCATGTTTCTATGTAGAGTGTTTTATTTATTTTTTTTTTCTTTTCTTCTTTTAAGGTAATCGTACATTCCCCAAAATGCTATATTGCAACTGGACTGGAGGCTACAAGTGGTCTACTGCTCTGGCTCTAAGGTAAGTTTCGTTACTAGTAAGTTAAAAATGCCATTTGGATTTCTTTGGGGTCAGTGGAATCTTCCAGACATTGATCTCAGCCAAACTGATGCTTCCCTCAGAACCTACACGTTAGATAGACTCTAGGAAACATAGCTGCGGGGAGTTTATCAGGGGTCCTCAAACTTTTTAAACAGGGCCAGTTCACTGTCCCTAAGACCGTTGGAGGGCCAGACTATAGTTTAAAAAAAACTACGAACAAATTCCTATGCACACTGCACATATCTTATTTTGAAGTAAAAAAACAAACGGGCAAAAACACCAGCATGTGGCCTGCGGGCCACAGTTTGAAGACGCCTGGTTTAGATGATCAGACCAGTATCTTCGTGGAATTTGATGGCAGGCATGTTAGCTTTTCTACCAGGATGCCTGATTCCTATTGTGTATGTTCCATGAATTAGTAAAATGCTGTGGACTATTTAAAATAGGTAGGTTTATGATGTATATTTTTAATTTTAAGTAACTTATTATAAAAAGTAATACATGCTCAATATTGAAAACTGGGAAAACGAACGCCAAAGAAAAACATTAAAAATCACCTGCAATTTCACCATCTAGAGATAATTATAGGCCTATAATTCTTACATTAAAATGTGCTTATATTTATTAAACTTTTCAACAGTTCATTAAGAAATTAAACCAGTTCTTCTTACTAAAGGGAAGGGCAGGTAGGACCCTGATTAAATGATTAACTGATGAAAAGGTTATGCTATCTACGGTTGAAGTCTTAGAGTTAGCACTTGAGACCCTGAGGCCTGCAGCGTGGGTAAGGCAGAATCTATCAGTCTCCTCACTGTTGACATTTGGGTCAAATAATTCTTTGTCTTGGGGCTGCCCTGTGCATAGCAGGATGTTTAGCAGCATCCCTGGCCTTTTACCTACCACTTATCAGTAGCAACCCCTCCCACTGCCTACCTGGCAGGAAGGTATAACTGGAAAGTAAAAGAGGAGTCCAGGATACTATAGAAAATGAGATACAACAAAAATAAGCTTTGGTAACTGGCCACAGTCTTTGTGAGCAATGATTCGAATTAAAAGTAACAGCTGGCTTCTTTTGAAATAAACTTTTAAACTTGGAATAATTTTAGATTTACAGAAAGTCACAAAGATAATAGAGAGTTCAGTACACCCCTAACCAAGTTCCCCTACATTGTTAACATCTTACATTACTGTGGTACATTTAACAACTAACTTTTAGAAATTAAGAATAGTTTTCTTTTCAGAGCTCAACATCGTTTCTCTCAGAATAGTCACTGTAAATGAGATAACGCCAGCGTCTGCTTGCCAGTACAGTGCAGTGGGCACGGTGGGGTGATAGGTGGAACACAGCGCTGGCTGTGTGTTGATGGTAATTGGAGCTCTGTCATGGCTACTGCTCTCTTTTTACTTTTATATATGTTTTCAAATTTTCCATAATAAATATTGTCCCAATATTGTTAGATCTTAGAATTTAAAACAGTCTTAAAAGCCACTCATTCCTAACACTAAATTTTTAGAAATGACTAAAAAAATAGAGGACATAGACAACTGATCCAAGTCATCCCGATGGTGTTTAGGCTGCCTAACGACTCCAACTCCTGGCTCCTTGGTAGTGCACTTTCTGTTAGACTGGATTCCTGCTTTGCTTTGAAGAAAGCAATGAGACTGATTACTTTTTTAAAAAAGAGAATACATTAGATTTTAGTACAACGAAAAATTGTTAACTTTTGACATTTAAACAGTCTTGCCCATGATTATTTGGTGTTGTAAATTTGTGAAATAGTCATTTGTGTCCCAGATAAGGGTTATGATAAATTTGAGGCCTTTTCACAAATATGACTTAGTGCAGTTACGAAACCACAACTGGCTGCAGTTGGGGTGGAGACAGTCTTATGAAATCCAGTCTGGTGTGCTGTTGCAGCATCACCCTCGGTGGGTTCGGAGCAGACCGTTTCTACCTGGGCCAGTGGCGAGAAGGTCTCGGCAAGCTCTTCAGTTTTGGTGGCCTGGGAATATGGACACTAATAGACGTCCTGCTAATTGGAGTTGGCTACGTTGGACCAGCAGATGGCTCTTTGTACATTTAGCTGTGGTATGTGCTTCAGAAAGGAGCAGTGCTTAGTCCTTTTGCCTATAGGAATTGGTGTAGTGTGAGTGATGTATTTGTATGTTTTTAATGTACAGCATCTGTACTTTGCTTGCCTTGATGAAGGTAAAATAAAGAAATGAAACACTGAACTATGCTAATCTGGAATTTGTTTTCTCTGCCTGAAAAATATTTTTTTTCTGTGAAAAAATTTACTTAAACCAGGAGAACGAATTCTGCAGTGATCGAGAATCCATTTCATTGCTATGACTTCAGTTTTGGGTTGCTTATGTCAAACTGTTTCACTTGTATCTCCAGCCTGAATGTAATCTGCCTTGAAAGCCTTTCAGCTCTGATCGCAGGAAGTGGGAACTGCTTTTCTTGTTGGCTAAAGTTATCTACCTAAACTTCAGTAATTGTATGTTTTGCAGTATAATCTGTGTGTAGTCTAGCCTGTATCTGAATGCTTAAGCTAAACTGCAGAACTTTTGTGTCTCGTTGTGGTTTGAATTCTCTTAGTAATATAAAAAGTTGCAAGAGTACTAATAAATTAATAAAAGTACAAATTACTTCAAGAAATATTGTAGACCTGTTTTCTGTGTTTCTCTGTATTACAATATAATCTTGAATAATCATAACTTAACCTTTATTATTAAATAACAGGTTTTTAGAGCATTACTCCATTCCAACAGATAAAGTTATTGACACAGTGAAAGTGTATAAATTGTTTTGAATCTTTATAGATCTATTATAGATACTTTATTACAAAGAAAAACAATCCAAAAAGAATTTTCCTCAAGGTTGCTTTTGAAACATTTAGAAATTCTTAGTATTTTTTCTTTCATATTTAGGTATCTGAGTTACCACCTTTTAAACACCTGTGTATGTTAGTTAACCAGCATATCGGATCTCAAAGGTGTAAAATATCTTTTGGGAATATCTCCATAAATCTCATAGGATAAACCATATTTCATTCATCAGATTATTAATTACAGTTTAGGTGAATTAAATCACTTTGGTGATAACTGGCCATCTAAGAATGGGCTTCTTTTGAAGCTGAGGACCTTTTTCAGTGTTTTGGTGTAGCCGAGTAACAGTTCCGGCTCTGGTCACTAGGTGGTGCATCCCCATCACATTTGCTTTCCCATTCTGTTTCCCAAAACTGCCAATCTTCAGTTTTTTCTTTAGGGACCAGTCACAGAGCATGGGCAGTGCTTCAGGATGGGAGTAGCCCAGTTCATGTGGACCTTTCTTTTTGAAGATAAACATGTGGTTTAGTATTCATGAGAGTTGACTGTGCAGGTATTTCTTTAGAAGAAGACCTCCCGCAAGAAGCAGCTCTTCACTATAATAAAAATGTCCTGCATCTTCTTATTAGCTCTATGTAGAAGGAAATTTCTAACATTTCCCTGTTAACCGCACCAGGTGGAGCCAGGAATCAGTGGGAAGTTAGTGGGATGTGCACGCTGCTTGCGGAGGAAATGTGTGGCTTCCTTGACGAGTGGCCGTCTTTACGGCTTTGGGGCCTGAGTTAAATAATGAAAAGCTGCAGTATTTATTAATGACAAGCTGCAGTAATAATGAAAAGCTGCAGTATTTGAAAAGGGAAAGCTCAAAGATTCAGAATCCATGCAAGGAGACTTGTATGAACTTGTTCCCAAATCCTAACATTTTCCACAGGAGCTAGCCGTTGGCACCTAAAGGATGCAGAGCACTCAGGGATGCTTCATGGCAAGGATGTGTGGAGCTGGTGGCCTGAGACAGAGCTGGCAGGAGATATGAAGAGATTTTTCAAATACAGTTTAGGCAAATTTATGAATGACAAACTCACACATGGCCCCTAAAAGAAACTGCAGAGTAAAACTACACTTTAAAAGGCACTAGGGGGTGTGGGTGTGATCTCTTGTGGCAAATCCCAGGGGTCTCAGCTGGCAGCAAAATGCCATGTTTGGGTCTGACATTGAGGTTCTATTCCTGTGTTGTCTTCTCTTTGGGCTGCTATAACAAAATAGCAGAAACTGGGTGGCTTAGAAACAACAGAAAATTATTTCTCATAGTTGTAGAGGCCGGGAAGTCCAAGATCAAGGTGCTGGCAGATTTGATATCTGGTAAGGGTCCACTGGTTTTGCAGTGTCCTCACATGGTGGAAGCACGGGGGACTGTGGGGTCTTTTTATGGGCACTAATCCCATTCGTGAGGGCTCCACCCTCATGACCTAATCACCTCCCAAAGGCCCCAACTCCTAATACCATCACTATAGGGATATAAATTTTAGCATGAATTTTAGTGGAGCATAAACAGTCTGCTGCATGTGTGCTGTGAGATCTGCCTAGGGGGCTTTAGATAGGAAACCTGTTTACACAGGTTTGGAATCATATCCATCAACCATCTTCTATCGATGGTTCTCTAGATACTCAGAATTTATCGCTGCAGCACGCCATATGTCATGATTTCATCCTAAGAATCTATACCTTGCTTTGTCAGCACTCCTCCCTTTACCCCAGTAATTCCTCATGGGAAGGTGCTGTGTTATTTATTTCTGTCACCCACTTTGTCCCTAGCACAGTGTCTTGCACACAGAGGCTGTCATGTATTTGCAGAGTTAATGCCATGGGTATCTTGGAGGTTTTGAGGGGATTGTGTAGAATTCCGGGGACTGGCAGTTGAGGTGGCTACAGGGAGCTAATATACAGAAATTGGCTTCGAGTAAATATTTGCCTGTAGCACCATGGTAATCTGATTTCTGCACATTGCTGGGAAATAACTCTGGTTTATAGTGCTTATAAAAAGAGATTTTTAAAAGATCTTATGCTTCAAGATTTAAAAATGTAAAAATATCTCCTCTATGCCACACAACTTAGCTTCCCTGTATGTTTTTTTAATACCTTATGCCAAAATTGCATTTATTTTTGGCACCTCATCAGCTAAGGAATATGCAAATATTTTAATTCATTGTGTAAGCAATGAGTCGAAAATGAGCTGTATCTGATGCAGCTTTTCAAATACAACATCAAGAGAGCTTTAAAATGAAGGCAGATTCCTTCACCCCTGTTCTTAAGCTTCTGCCCTGTCCATGCTGTAACTGATGAAAGCAATTTTTATTTTTTATTTTTTTAGAGATGAGGTCTCACACTATTGGCTAATCTAGAGTGCAGTGGTGCAATCACAGCTCACTACAACCTTGAACTCCTGGGCTCAAGCAATCCATCTCAGCCTTCTGAGTAGCTGGGACTATAGGTTGGTGCTACCATGCCTAGCTAATTTCTTTTTAAATTTTTGATAGAGATGAGGTCTGGCTATGTAGCCCAGGCCGGTCTCGAACTCCTGAACTTAAGTGATCTTTCTGCCTTGGTGCCTTCCAAAGTTCTGGGATTACAAGGTGTGAGCCACCCTGCCCAGCCAAGAAAGCTGTTTTGATAGAGTATGAAATGACACAAGAGTGCCAGAGGGTATATAAGTTTTTGTTATTGTATATACTTAAAGTGGACAACATGTTTTGATATACATATTAAAATGGTTACTACAGTCAAGCAAATTAACATATCCATCATCTCACCTTTACCCTTTTATTTTGTGGTAAGAGAACTTAAAATCTACTCTCAGCAAATTTCCAGTATGCAAAATATGGTAACTATGGTCCTCTTGCTGTACATTAGTTCTGTAAGTTAACTTTATAACCTAGGCAGATTTCATATAATATCATAGATGTGAAATACTGAAATTTTCATCTAAAAACATAACATTGCTTCTATGTAAAACAAGGAATCTTTGACCAAACACTTGGATGTAATTTACTAAGAGGCACCATGAGGGCAGGGCGCTGGTTCTCTGCAACAGCCCAGCTTCAAGTGCCCTGCCTGGCACACAGGAGGCACGCAGTGACTATTTGATGAATGAATAATAAGAAACCTCTGGGATAAGCTAAACACCTAATAGTATTGCTAAGTGTCATTTTTAAATACAATGATAGATTACAACTGGGTTACTCTATTTCTCTTTTCAAATAATGGTATGAACACAATACAGTAAAAACCAGCACTTGCTTCCCACAAAAAAACAAGCAAAACAACCTCAGCAAACAAATGAGCAAAAGGACACAACCAAATGCCAAAACTGTCCAAAAATGGTGAGTAAGGGAAGAAAAAAAGTTATTGCTAAGGTATGCAAGGCTACTCCCACAAATGGTCCTGGTGAATCAGCAAAACCCAGGAACTCTCACAGGTAAGAAAAGTAGGTTAATTGGGAGAAGAGGGATATCTTTTTCCCTGTTACCACTGGGGGAAGTGGACGGAGGGGAGAGACCAGAGGGAGAGGCTAGTGAACACCCAGGAGGGCCTCTCTGATGGATATAGAGAGAGGATCCAAAGCCCAGGGGCCCCCAAGGGGTCATGAAATCAGCCCCTAACCAGGGGAAGGAAAAATCTTCAGAAATCAGAGACCAGATATTGCAGCAAAGATACACTCTCAGCTGAGCTCTTCCCTGCCTCACTCCTAGCAATTGGGCCACAGAACATTGAATAGAACACAAAATGCAACTTTCAGAAAGCTCAGAGAGAAAACATAAACAGGATTCACACAATACCATGAAATTGTCCACTCACACAAGAACAAAATAAAATGACACACCACCTGCTAGAATGACTATAATAAGACAATAGTAAGCGTTGGTAAGGATGTGGAGAAATCGGGACCTTCATATGTTGCTGGTGGGGATGGGAAAATGGTGCAGCCCCTTTGAAAAACAGTCTGGAAGTTCTTTAAAATGTTAAACATAGAGTTACTGTGTAAGTCAGCAATTCTAATTCTAGGTATATGCCCAAGAGAAGTGAAAATATATGTTGTAAATGTTGTCAGCACCAATATGGAGTCAGCTGGGTTAAATCCAAACAAAATGGGCGGAAGCCGTAAAGGAGGGGCCCTCATGCACGCATGCCTCCAACACAAACTGCTACAAGAGCTCTCTGGGAGCCACGAAGTTCCAAATAAGTTGCTTCTGTGAAGACATCTCCCCAGCAATAGCCAGTGTCACCAGTGAGTAATTGCCAACTCCTGCTGTGAGCATCAATGATCAGTGGTTTCTGTCCCAGAACAGCTTATGTGGGTTTCTCCTTTTCGCCCTTATAAGCTCGCCTTGACCCCAGACTCTTTGGATGCCCCTGTGGTTCACCACAGCATGCATATCTCAAA